CAGCAATCCAAACCCTCATAACTATATGCCACCAGGGTTCCAACTTGGGTCTCCATTGTCCTGACACTAGGACGCAGGTGTACTGGGCATACGTACTACAACATAAGTCTCAGCGGCCCCTCTCAACTGTCCTCTCCCCTTTTGTTCTAGACAAACGCCGACCTCTCGTGAGGTGCCCCTAGCCTCTTCCTTGCACGCAGGGCCATAACCAGGGACGCGGGCCTTGACCGAGACCTCTGAAGGCATTCTTGCCTTCCTACAACAATTATCACAATCAAACATATATATATATACACACAAATCTCATTATAGACTCTTCCTGCAGTCTAGTACAGGAAGGTCAGGTCTCCATGTTAGACCACCATAGTCTGGGTGATCATGCCAGATCAACGGCTTACTGCGTTGTTATTTTAGCAGTAGTGCCCTCGCAGGTTGCGCCACGATAGGCTTTCTCCTCATAAGCATTCAATCAGGACTCAAAAGATTCGACTCAACTCCTATCCCCACGCCACTCCGTAGGAGTAAAACCCTCCTAGGTGGCCACACCCCTTTAAGTCTTTACTCACTTGGCAAGATGTAGGCCTGCTGTTCAGGTTACGCCGATCAGCAGCCGACACTAGGGGTTGCGCCCTAGTGATGCTAAACTTCACCGTTAGCTTGGTATTTTCATAAATGCCCCAAGATTAGCACAAGTGGTTGGACGGCGTGTCGCAACAATACAGGCCTACTGCGGCATTACGCAAAGGTCTGTCACACATAAAAGGTATTTACCAGTCCTCTGTGGAACAACACGGAGAATCACGACAACCTCTTCGCATGCACAAAACAAAAAACCACCGCCGGACCCACAAGGTCGCGACCTCCGGCCTGATCAGAGCATGAGGCCACACATCCCAGTGACATCTCCAAATGAATCACTTTTGCGACCTTCAAAATTTCACCAATGGCTAAATTAAACTTGGTCCTTCTCGTCAGACTTCATCATTCAAACCAGTTTTCCATGCCATTGAATCTATTAACCTCCTTCCATATGAAGGAGGTCTCTCTCAATAGGCCTTCCAGTCATCCTTTCTCTTTTCAGGATGAACTTCCATGCGACCTTGTATTACAAATGAGCCTCCAATTGAACATAAGATTATCTTCCTCATATAAAACAATTCAAACAGAGGGACCAACTTATGGGTCCTCATCATAACTCAACAATAAACATTCGGCATGGCAAGCATCTGAGTCTCAAAGACTCATAAATCCCTCAGGATTTTACACCTTTCACAAAACAGACTGTACTTCCCCTCCTTGTACCCGGCCCTATCATCTGCTCATAGGCAGATCGCACGAGTATACCGAAGAGTAGACAATTCATATTCCTTCACTTCCACAAGACATAAATTATGTGAGATGTTCCTCATACATCTTCCACCCAAAATCATCATTCATCAGGACAAAACCACATGTGTGAGAGTGATTGTGATCGTCATATACAAAGAATGGCCCCAAATAGTACTCAACTCAAAACACACTCGAGATGAGATATCTCACCCAAAAACACACATAATGGTCCAGGTTTATAACTCCCCTGGATTTACCCAAGTCACTCTCAGTATAGTACATGGCCAATTATTTTTATCCAGAATGTAGTCAAAGTGTACACTGACTCCGAAAGTCAAAGTTAAAACATATACACACTGAAACTCAATGGAAATTATACGTTGTAATCCCTTATATGTACATCCCTCAGCGTAAGTGTTTTATTCCTGACAGTAATAGGACAAAAACGACCATACAGCTAAATATCTAATCTGATATATGATAACACAACTCTATTTACAATATCCTAGTGGCTATCTATACCTAGGCAGACCAGTCCCTACTCACTCATCTCCTGCTGGTTTTGCCTATATAACTGTGCTCTACCCCCATCAGCAGATCTCTCCACCACTCGGCCCTGTCTATCATACATCTTCCCTGCACTCTCTGAGACCTTCCCTTCCGCCTTGTCCTTGAGGAACTTTGGGCACTCGAGGGCCCGATGTACGCATTTCTTGCAAAAGAAGCAGAGCTGATCAACCTTCCTCTTGAATTTTTTCTTCCTTGGCTGAGGCGGAGGCGACGATGGGGATCCTACCATGGTGCGGGCGACCTCCTGCTACTCAGACTCCGGAGCTCGCTCCCAGAACCAGATCCAGTAGCCCAAGATCCCAGCCTACTCCTCAGATCACCCACCTCTGGCACAAACTCAGGCGTATCCAATCTTTGAGGCCTGCTTTCCCGTTTTCTGATAGTACCACCGATAGTCCCTCGCTTACAGTCTCAGTACCCAACCCCGACATATGCGTGCTTGCTTCCTCCTGCATGGTGTCCAGTGCCTCTAGAAGCACCCCCATGGGTCCTTCTATTGACCCTTGTGCGGGGTCACTAGTGGCCCCATGTGGACCCTCTTCGCCTGGCAGTGGTGAGGATGTCGGCGGATCTCCCAAAGGCTCCACTGATAGGGTCGCAAACTCTGTCGGTGCCCTGAACACGAAGGCTTCCTTCCTCGCCTCCCTTTTTGCCTTAGCCTCTTCTGACCCCAGGATGACCCTTCCAAGGGGTGGCCCTCTTGTGAAGGTCCTGCCTCAGATGGCTGCCCAGATCCTTGAGCCGCCTATCCTTGAACGTCGTACAGTGCTCCTTCCATCTGATCCACTACCTTCGTGGATGCTCCTTCCTTCTTTCTTCCTACAGACTCTGAATGATAGCAGCCTGGTTGGTTGCTAGCGCCCTGAGGTCTTGGATCTCTGCCTCCAATGCTTCCTGGCGTACCCTATCTCCTTCTTCCTTTGCCTTTTTCCCTGCCAGGTCCCCCTCCAACATCAAGTACCTGTCGAAGCTTGTCCTGGCGAGAAACCGGATTCTCCGATCCAGAGTCTCCTCAGCCTGTCTTGCCACCCTGAAACCTGCCCTTGTAGGCGACGCGAGCCCTTCAGTCCTCTATTCAAAAAACTCTTTCCATAGGTCTGGAATCCCCGGGACCTTGGCCGGTGCGCTGGGTGGTTGGTCTGGAAGCTCTCCTGCCCCCTCTAGCCTCTGCCTCTCCTGCCATATCTCCTCCAGTCGTTTGCCTACCCTGATCCTCTTCTCCTCAGCAGTCTCCCGAGAACGCACTCTCCCTGCTATAGGGTGGATGTCATCCGGTGGGGCCTCAGGTTGCGCCTCCGTTGGTGGCGGATGAGGTTCCTGGAACGGCTCTCTCCCTGGAACCTCCTCCAGATCAGGGTGCTCGGCAGCGTGCGCTGCCTGATACCGGTCCACTGTAGAGACTGCCTTTCCTCCAATCTGTTTCTTCCAGCTCCGTTTCCGCTCTCACTTCTGGCGACTGAATCGTGTCAGGAGGTAGTGGTGGTGTCTCTCCTCGCTGAGGCTCTCTGCCTTCTTCTCGAACATCCATTGGCTCGGTCCCCACTTCCGGAGTCGGGGCTGGCTGTTGCGGAGGGGTATCCTCTCCTATCACGATCACCTGCTTCGTTGGCTGTTCTCTCTGGGCGCGGGGCTCGGCTTCCCGACCTCCACTGGACTGAGGCGCCTCTTACTGCGAGGCGTCCAAGTGTGCTTCCAGGCCCTGTAGGGAACCCCCTGCCGGTGCGGCCTCCTCTGACACCTGATGCGGCCTCCTCTGGACTGAGGCGCGGGGCTCGGCTTCCCGACCTCGCGAAACTCCAATAATCGCCCAAGAAGAGCTCTATGTCCCCATCGTCATACTCTGGTGTATGCTCCCTCTGGTAAGATCCATGCCGCTCGTGTCCCCCTTATGCCCCCGATGGTCTCCTCGATGGCCGCATCTCCCTCCCTCCCCTTGGCATGGCTGTCTTTGCAAAGTCAGACCTGCACAACAGGCGAAAGGAGACGATGGGCACACAAAGGAGTAAGCATACAGGCGGGATACAGCAGGCTGAGGTCAAACCATACATGCACATCCAAACTCTATTCTTAACTCTTCTATCCTATCTAATGGCCCTCGCACTCTTCCTACTAGCTGCATATTACGATGGGGTTTTAGGCTTATTAGCTCACCTCTTCTCCAGCTACTAATTTCTTGAGTCGGGTTCCTGACACCCAATCCTTCCACTCTGTCCCATCCAATTCTTCAATCTGGTACGCGGCAAACTCTCCGCATCGTACGATTCGATAGGGTCCCAACCACCTTTTATCGAGTTTTCTAGACCACTGTTTCTCCATAGATGAGTCGTACAATAACACGACGTCCCCCACCTTCAAGGGCGTTTTCCGCACGCGTGCTGCTTGGTCCCAACAAGCCTTATCGTCCAAGCGACTCTTTTCTACTTGACTCGATGCCTCGTGAATCCTTTCTTCAATATCCCCCACCTGTCGCGCCCGAATGTCAAGCAATTCTTCAAACGACAGGTTGGTTTTTAGAGCCTGACGCCTCCAGGTCTTCAGGAAGCTCTAGCATGCCTTCCATACCATAGCGTAGTCGGCTCATACTTGGTGGTCCTCTTTACTATAATATTCTCGACAAAAAAAGCCGCTCTCAGGTACCTTGGCCCTTGACTAGGTCTACCTTCGGTCCACTTAGCCAGCAGGTTCGTAATAGTACTGTGCCCTCTCTCCACTCGAGCGTTTGCCTGAGGGTGTGCGGTCGTGGTGTAATTAGCAACCACGCAGTACCTTGATAACAATTCTTGCACCTCCTGGCAGGTAAACTCCGATCCTCTACCCATTACGAATTCTCTGACAAAGGGATAGCGCAGGTAGTACACCTCGATGCAGCTAACCAAGACTAGTCTGGTCTTTGTACGAATGACCCACCCATCTACAAAGCCAGAAAGGTTATCCCACGCATCGAAGATGTAATGGTAGCCATGATCCCCAACTGGCATGAAGAGTAGGTCGAGATGTACTACGTACGGCCCCTACTTCCCTTTCCAACCTTGGATGCAGTGTCTCTCCCGGCCTTAGATGAGATCGCTCTTGGCAAGGTACGCAGGACCGATAGAACTTACCGACCATCTCCATCATCCCATCCCAATAGTATAGCTCACTTATCTTGGCATATGTGGGATCAACTCCTCGGTGTCCTTCCGCAATGCCATCATGAAGCGCAGCTACAACATCAATCTGACGGTTCCTGCTACATATGACCCTCCTGGGATTTCTCACTTGCCTCTTTACAAAAAGATGGCCATCCCTTACCAGATAGCGCTGCCTCATCCGTTGGGCCCTATCACTTGCATCCCTATCCCGCATTTTGCACGATAAGAGGAGTCCCAGTTCCAGATAGATTCCATCATACTCCTCTGCACGGGAAGCTTCTTTGATTTCTTTCTCTTCAAACTCGTCATCCTGGCTTTCTGGCACAACATCCCCCCTTTCAGCCGGGTTTAACGAGCCTATCAGATCAGAGGGTTCCCGCAAAAGTGTGTTAACGAGGAGGTACATTCCTCCCATCAACTCCTCGTGCCTCCTTACCCGGTTTGGACCTTCCTCTATCGTTCTTACCTCCTCCGCCAGACTATGATTGCCTGCGAGCGCCAACTTCATCATCCATTGAACGTCCTTGCCACCCCAAAGGTCCTCCTCTTGAAAAGGCTGGAGTACTAACTCCAGCCTTCCATTCATATCCCATTGGCGCATGCCAAATGGGATGGCTGACGCAGCCAGGCACTCGCGGAGACCACTCGTTAATGTGAAGGCGGATGTTTTCCTCCTAGTCCGAAAAGCCATCAACTGGGGGCGTACTCTCTATTGTCTCCCCTTCCTGCTTATCCCAGTTGATGCGACTCAGCCCATCAGCTCTATTCTTACTCCCCGGGATTCGTTCCAACTCAAAGTTGAACATCCAGATGTATGTTAGCCACCTGGCAACCGTTGGATCGGATGGAACATTGTCGAGCGCACGGTCCCCTGCTGGGGGAACCTTCCCGGTCGCGTCACGCAGGATTGGCAGTATTCGCAAGTCGCTTCACGAAAAGGGAAGCGGCGGAGCCGCTCCGGCCGAGTGCGCCAGCTATACCTCCATCGAGTCTCTACGACAGGACAGGGTCTCGCGAGGTACAACTTACCTCTACCTGCGGGAGCTATCACCATCTCTTGGGTGGGCGTATCCCCGTCGAGCTACTGAACCACTCGGGAAAGCTTTTACTTGCAATCGCGGAGGTGGCCCAGCCGAGGGCGTTTCTCGAATGATGTAGCATAGGGGATACGCGCGGTCCACGCCTAGCTCGGACCCGTACGCGAACCGTCACGCTGGGGCGCTGATCTCCCACGTGCGATTCAACGTCGGTCGACTAGGACATCCTAACTCAACCATGCGATACACGACAAAACAAAGTAACTCGTACAAGCAAATTAGCCTAGTCCCTTTTTCATACGTCCTGACCCATAACTCAGAACTGCCAATGTGTCTGAGCAAGGTCAGTGCAGAGTTATGTAAAAAGAATGCCACTGCCATGGGAACCATAACGTTCAATCATATGTTCTCATTTAATCTGCTATCATGGCGACGCTTCATGCGTTACCCACATCCCTGCAACCTCCCATGGGTTTCGGGGTTGTGTACGACACTCAAATGTCAAAAGCGAAATATCGTGAAGGGTTTCTCCTTCACGATATTGCACGGCTGAAGGATAAGTCGTTCGACATTTGCGGCACCCCTGTTTTTTAGGCAGTGGGTGACGATAAGCAAGGGGCAGGTCCGGCTCAAGGGGGAAACCTTGTTGTGCTGGACCAGAGCCTGGGATGTCCTGGACAAGGATCTCGAATTCTAGGCTCAGGACCAACGTTCGACCAATAATCGAAAAAAGCATGACCCCTTTGAGACGAGGTACGCTCGTCCTTCCCCCGCGGAAGGAAAATATGAGTAATCACGGGTTGGCGAGCAATTCACCGTACCCAAACTTAGTCTCAGTCCGATCTAAGGTCGAGCGCTAAACCTTGCGCTCGGGTACTCTTGCCTGTTTGCTAGATGCATGCGGCAGAAGCAAAATAAGAGAAAGGAAAGGGCGAGTCTCGGGGGAAATCAGGGAGAGCCATTCTCACAGCCATAGTTGAATCTTGTCACTCACACCCTTCATTTATTCACCCATATCACCCTTAATTCAGGAGCGAGCCATCGCTCCCATACATACCTGCACACACATGGAATCCAATGAAAATCCACACGCAGATGCCACAAAACGTGGTCAACTCCTTTGCTCCCAGGTTCATGTCCCACATGCCCCTTTTCGACCCCCACTCAACGAAGGTATGCCCGTCCGATCCATTTCACACAACTTTTGCATGGTCATTAAAGAGAGGTTCTAAGGATAGGTTTTCTTTCATACGGAAATGCCTTTCGCCTACAGGGTCACAGACATTTGGGCGTGGGTATCACAGTGGGTAGGAGTTGAGTCGCAAACCGACCTGCTATCAGGTGATAGCAGAAGTTGATGAAGTTCAAGACTTCGAAGAAACTCTCGTCGATAGCAATGACCTGCACCACAATAATCAAGGCAGGCATCGCCTGTCGAGTTAACGGAGTTCAACTCCGTAACGCATTCTAAGCTTACTTAGCAGCAGCGTCCGGTAACGATATGAAAATCCCAAAAATTTCGGCAGCACTTCCTTTAGGGAAGTGTGCTTGCAAACTATTTATTATACCAAATCTAAAAAGAAAACTCGAGATTCATAAAATATCTGAAAATAAGCTAACTCTTTGGTTTTAGTAGAAATTTCGGCAGCACTTCCTTTAGAAAGGAAGGCCTCCAGAATTCCTACTTACTCCAAAAGGCCAAACTATATCCTATCCTAGTTGCCATCTTCGAGACTTGACTAACCCTGAATGTTTAGCAGAAATTTTGGCAGCACTTCCCCTAAGGAAAAGAGGCTCCCAGAACTTTCACTATCTCAGAGGCTAGCCAGTCCTATCAAAAACAATCATGCATAAAAAGACAAATGCGAAAAACAAAGGTGAGCATCTGCCTGCCTATCGCTCAAGCATAAGGCGAGCACTAACAGACTACCCTATAATGCAGAAGACAGACAAAGCTTGAGCAAAAGACAAGGCAATATAAGCATGTCAGATCAATAATGCATTCAACCAAAACAAGGGTTCGTTCATCCAAAGTTTCATCTTTCGCTTATCTTGATCACAAAAAACGTAAGTCCTGTATCTTACTCAGTTCATTAACCTTCCAAGTTGTTCTCAGTCAAACCCCATGCAATCACTAACACGCTTAGCCCGAACTATTCTCACAAGGAGAAGAGTCAGACCCTTTGTCAACAAGCAAAACTGACTGACTCAGCAAAGCGATCGGATCGGTCAGGAGGACCTCATCTCCAGCCCCCTTTCAATGGCTTAGGCAAGCAGCAAAGCGACCGGATCGGTTAGGAGGACCTCATCTCCAGCCCCATTTCAATGTCTTAAGCAAACAGCAAAGTGACCGGATCAGTCTGGAGGGCCTCATCTCCAGCCCCATTTCAATGTCTTAAGCAAACAGCAAAGCGATCGGATCAGTCTGGAGGACCTCATCTCCAGCCCCATTTCAATGTCTTA